TAAAAAATTATTCCTAAAACCACTAATTAAAATAGATAGGGAAGTAGGGACTAATTAAACCTGATCAAATTCTAAGCCAAGCCGAGTCTAAAAAAATCAGCCCACACTTCTTGAGCCTGACCAAGCTTCAAGCCGAAAATTACATGCATAAACCCCTCCAAAATGGGCGGGTCGTGAGGATTTTTTTGCCCGAGCAAAAAATATTAAACTAATATTGCACAAAAACGCATTCTAAAGCCCGACCAAAGAGTTTTTAAAAATCGGGTCGGGCCAACCCGGCCTTGATTTCAGGCCGGAAAAATTTGCCGATATTCCGATGGGGCTGACTTTGATTAGCTCTACGTCGAATCCACAGCGAAACAATAGTTTTTTTTTAACTCCTAATTAATATTATAATCTAAATAATCAAGAACGAGTATTTTTGTGAGAATTATACTACGACAATAAATAAACTTTAAAAATATCAATGATAAAAGGCCTAAGGTATAGGTCCACCAATAATTAATGCTCTGGGATAATAAAGCATAAAAATCAACGATCAATATTGAAATTAATCAAATTAGAAGGCTCTTGCATTTATTAATCATAGAATTAAAACTAACATGCTCTCGAATTTATTAGATCTGATTCCTCCTATTTAAACTAGTCTTTGATATCGAAATTACATCCGCTCGATTCATAAAATCAACATTTCTATACTATAGCAATTAAAATTAAATTTGTTCGATTCATTACCTAATTAAATCAATTAAATACCGAAATTAATATGCAATATCAACAACCAACAATAATAAATTATCCCTTCATTTAAATCATTGATCTCTAAAACCTTAGAATTAAACTACTCACATTATTTTATTTTAACTAATCAATGCAGTTAGATTAATTTAAGCATAATTAAAAACAATAATAATATAATAAACTAATAAGAAAGCAAATAAAAAAAAGTAAATTAAAACATTTAGATAAACACTTACAACGTAACCCACAGTTAATGATCAAAACAACTAAAAAGGAAAAAATAATGTTTTTTTTAATAAACTTACTCTTAACTTAAGAAAAATAAAGAGAATAAAAAAAATTCCGATTAAAAGCCTAATACACAAGAATCCAACCCAGGTCGCACACCAGGCTTGGCTTATGGTGGGTGAGTCTTCTAACAAGAATTTCTGCACAGAGAGACCTCCTTTAAGCGACATCAAGTTGCTTATTACTTGACCCAACTCTTATTGGTCTGTAATATTTGTTTATTCACATAATTTGTGCGAAATGAGCAATTTTTTTGCTCATTTATACAAAATTAGCAAATTTTATTTTTTTGCTCATTTACACAAAATGAAAAAATCTACCCAACTTCTTCTTTTTATGGAGTACCTATTTCTCTACTTTTTATACCACGCACACACTTCTTTTAGCCCATTTGTATAAAACGAGTAAATAATTTTTACTCATCTACGTAATTTTAATTTTTACTCATCTACATAAAATGAGCAAAATTGTCCAACCTTTTTTTGTTTTTCTTCTACTTTCACTTCATTTTCCTATAACCAACACCATATATTCTTCATTCATTTGAACAAAAATCAGTAAGTAATTTGCGCAACCTCCTCCTATTCCGGCCTTCCTCCGAGAGCTCCCTTTCTTACTACAAAATACCCTTTTTAATGCACATTTTATACACAAAATGAGCCAATACTTCATCTTATTTTTCTCATTCATACTATTAAAAAAAGCAAAACTACTTGACCTCATTTTCCTTATTGTTTGTTGCTTTTATTTCAAACATATCAAGTAATGTTGTTACTACCAATTCATACACAATTTCGAAAATATCAAATTGAAGCGAGCAGAAAAATGTAATGATTAGATTTTATTATATCTTATATTAACAGTTACAATAGAAAGTGATGAAGAGGAGCACAAAGAAAATTAGTTAGATGATGAAGAAGCTAAGGGAATAAGAAAATAAGTGAGATGGTGAAGAAGTGGAGGAGAGAGATTTGAATTTGTCCCGTAATAGAATTTGATTAAGTAGACATGTAACGGATTAGCCTTAATGTTACATATATTTACAAAAAGGCCACTAGTGGTACTTTGTTAGGTACCACCAGTGGTACGATGCATGAATTATTACATATCTACTTTATAAAAATTAAAAAAAGAATTTTAAAGAAAGTCAAACACCTCTTTCAACTAAAACTAAAACTAAACCTCTACTTCAACAATGAAAGCTGCTTAAACCGACAAATTCAACAGCCAACAAAACCAAGCAACATGCCTAAGAATGTACAGGACGAACTGGAATACCCGACATGGCAAGCCCCCCCCCCCCTTAGGCATGGTCAGTCTTCACGCCCAACAGCTTCTAGGTAGCCTTGGAACTGATATAATCTCGTCCGTGGCTGGATGAATGTTGGGCGGTTTAGGCCATTTTAGTTCCTTACTTATTCAAAACTCCTAGCTTTATTATACTAGGGTGACTAACTCGCGTGATATACGTGCCATAGCTAGCCATGTTTAGGGAGCTTTTTCGGTAGTTGATTACCTAGTTTTTTCTCACTAGAATTTATTTTTCATTGTAATTCAAGATTCGTAATATCCTTAATACTTTTGTTAATCATGTTTTCTTTAATTATTGTTATTATTCTTGTTGACTTGAGCCTCTTTCTTTTTAAATGGATATCAATACTTCGAAAAGTTGAAATTGGTAGGCCGACAATTACTGCCATTATTAAAGTTGAAACTCAAATTTTAGCTATAGTTTAAGGTTAACATTATACATGTTAATATTGTCAGGGGAATGCCAGAATTTGTAGTAGTGTCAATCCAATCATGCATGGTAAAAATAGTATTATAGTACGTACTACGTAGTGATCATAATTACATTAATATATGTGTTGCCAATTGCCATTTATAAATAAAAGTCATTAATCTTATTGTCGGGTTTCTTTCGAATATCAGGTTGAATGAAATAGCCAACCTGAACTTTTAATTCTACTAGGAAGTTTGTAATTCTAGTAAATACACTGAAATTTCATTGATTCTACAATTGCCATTATATATAAAAGTCATAAATCCTATTGTCGGGTTTCTTTTTAGCGTGTATATTATATTATTTCTCTTAACTACCGCTAGCCAATTATATACTCCATTCGTCTCTTATTTTTTTGTCCCATAGCTAATATTTGGATCAAACTTTAAAAATTTTGACTATATATTCCCCTGAATCTATAGGAGATAATATGATCATGTGGAATTTTTTTGGATTGATTCATTGTATATTTTATTAATACCAAGTTTTTATAAATTTGGTACGTATAAAAATGAAGATATATACGTTTTAAAACCCGTCTTGGAAACCATGAAAAATCAAAGGGGGTAAAAATAAATACAGGACATAGGGAGAACAGTACATGACATAAATCACAATTTTTGTTTTCGGCTCCGATTTGATATCGCTGTGCTTTTCTTTTTTGGTTTTTTGTTTTCAAGATCATATTTTATGTCATACAATGAATAAAAAAATTGGTTAAACATTTTAAAATCATGCTATTATTGAAAACTGACAACAATAAAGTGGAAACACTTTTTTCTCCATTACTGTATTTGATTTTTTGTTTTCAAAAAATCATAAGATAAAAAACAAAAAATTACACCAAAAAATGCTTTCATGTTTTTATTTTTTTTATTATATATATATATATATATATATATATATATATATATATATATATATATATGTAAACCATCAAAAGTAGCCCTATTATCTAGCTCCAATCTTACAAAGATTACAAATAAAAAAATCGCAACTTACAATAGAATTTCATTATTAATTTAGTTAAATTTTCATGCGTATTCCCAAGTTATAGCACATATTATTTTTAAGCTCACACGTTTGTTTCTTCTACCATTAGGTCGGCCAGTGTCTCGTGCCAATCCTAGGTGCTTTGAGGTAAGTTAGACATTGTTCACTTTTGTTAAGCATGTGATGTATAATTCATGAGCGCTTTAAACTTCGGCGAGATTGGTAATCTTCACTTTAAGCATGTTTGGTAAAAGTTTTTTCTGGGTTGGAAACGGATTAACTTAAATCATTACTGTTACCAAGCGTTTGGTTGGAAGGTTTGGGTTATCCATTTGGTATCTCTTTAAAACCTAAGATAACAATTATCCTTACTCTCTTCTTACAAAAATAAAGTGAGATAGGTTAAAGTGATTCCTTTCGATGATTAAACCAAACAAAATAAAAGACAAGTGTTAAATGATTCATTTCCTCCTTCATTTCTTATTTGTTTGCTTTCCACTCCATTTTCATTGTTCATACCAACCACCCCCTTAGTTTTACGTATTTAAAACTCAAACATAAGGTGTCATGTGTCCTTTTCTTTTACCTTTTATTTATATATATATAATCATTCTCTTCTTAAATTCAAATAGAATAACATTTCCGACTCCCCCCATTATTTTTAGTTCAATAAATTGAATTTTCTTAACCTTCTCTTCTCCCTCCAACTTTCAATTCCATTTCATCACATTCATTATTTAAATCATTGACCAATTATCTCCCCCAATCTCTAATATAAATACAAATTTCCATACAAACTTTTATCTTATCACTAGCTAAGTTCCAAGAAAAAAAAAAGTAGAGATTTATCTCTCAATATTCTATGTAAATTTTTACTATAATAAAGATGATGATTGAACAGGATAAGAGTGAGGTTGCAAAGAAGGGAAAATTTGAATTTGTTATGAAAAATATAGAGATTCATGTAATAAAGATTATTATGGTAATTACATAGTATAACATTGCTTCCATATCATTGGGCCATTAATTTCAAGGTATTAAGCGCCCTCTAAGAGAAATAGTTTTGGTAAAGAAAAAATTTATATTTGACGTAAGAAAAATAGAATTATAAAAAGAGCTTGATATTTAGTTTAGTTTTTTTTTTTTTTTTTAATACGAATTATTGATTAATTATCATACAATTAGATCATTTGATTATATAATTTTTAAGCCAGATTTTTAAAATGTCAAAAGCAAAGTAAAATAATAAAGTGATTTAAGTAATTTATTAGTTTAAGTATAAATGATAACTTATGCACGCCAGTGTGTATAACAAGCTAAAGAACAAGTTATTGTTAAAAAATGTTTCTGAATAATCTCCCTCGCTCCATTCTTGAAAATTTGATTTACTTTGCATTTGAGTGGTCATATTCATATTGTATATCATACGGGTGCAAGCTAAAATTTATTGAATAGAAAATTTTAGAAAATATGGATCTTTATGATACTTTTTATAAGAGAATAATTTGTATAGAATTGTTGTATATCTTTACAAATTTTGGTAAAACCGTGCATTGCACGGGAATTAAGCTAGTATTTATAGCCAATGAATGTTACAACCGGAGAAGAATATATAAAAAATACCTTAAGTAATACCAAAAAAACAAAATCACAACTATGAAAAAGGTTATCATATCATTTAATAGTGAAGTAAATATCCCAACATCATAATTATTTCATAATCACGTGATAACAAATACAATAATTTAATATAATTTAATTGAAATGAAGGAAATTACATGTAAAACTCTTTAAGAGTAAGGTAAAACCATGTAACTCTACAGAAAGCGTTTAGGGATAACACAATATGCCTTGTGTAAGAGACCTTGGTTCGTTTCATACATACTCGATGATTACAACCAAAAAACATTCAATACAAATGAAGAGTATGCATCGATGGTGGTTGTGAACATCTTATTCATCAACGTCATTGAGAATGAAGACACTTTTGAATTGGACTTTCACATTTGCAGTTTGTAAATAATCATATTTGGTTGTCGAATTAAAAAAGGCTTCTCTTTCAATAAACTTAGAATAGCCCGACGAATCCTTTTTGGTATGGTACCAGTCAAGAGCAGCTACAAGAGAAAAACAACAATTAAATAAAGAAAAAATGTTGTAGTTAACATGCAATGGCAGTTTGTTGCCTAACAACTTATATTAATAACTTTAAAATCCAAAGTACATAGTACTCCTAATTTGCGGATAAATATGAAATCATCAACGTTATAGGCAGGTACCTCATGACGAGAGTATTCATTGTCTGACTCAAAATAGGAGTGATTCAAAATAGGATGCTTAATTAGTTAAGATTATGTCGTTAGTGGTGAGATTATATATTTTATGCAATCTGATCATGCAAATATCTCCCTAATCGTTAGCTTATAAATTGTGTAAATTTTACATATTGTGAAATATACAACCACCATTTGATTTTATTTTTAATAAAAGATCACTTTTTATTCACAATTAAAAAGGGAAAAAAGAAAGGCTCTCATGATACCTGGCATGGAATAAGAGTACGATCCAGTACTTTTATTTTTTAAACTTAATTGAAAATTAACCAACATGCTCCTTCCATTGGAAAGCTTGTTGATATCCACAAGAATCAGATACAGCGATACATGAAAGTCAGTTCCCTCAGAATGTCTAGTTAGGTATAACCGCAGTTTCCTACAAAGATTAGTGGAAAAAAAAAACGAGTATTTAATGTATAAACATAATCATGGTACAAAAATTTATAAAAACGAGGATTCATCAACTATTTTAAAAAAATAGCTACGCACCAGGTGTAAGTATTTCCATCTAATGTAGCGGTGAAGGTAGTAGAATCATAATAATCACTTTCGATATCAAATTTAATACCAATTTTAAATACATTTTTGGAAATGGAATTGACTAGCGACATCTTCGAGTAACTAGGCTCAGCACTTGTAATAAAAACCTCGGCTCCAAAGGTACAAGTGTTATCAACTAGAAATCCATTGTCTTTATCTGTAAAATCATCCAGCGCGATAGCCTGTGCGATTCCCCACTTTCTTCCTCGGACATCAAAATGCTTTTCTCCCAAATCTGTGTTTAATCAATTTAAATAGATACTAATTAAATACTTTTAATATAAAATCGAGGGAATAAGTGAATTATCAACTAAAGCATACCTTCAATGACAAGATACTCATCTGAATTTTGCTCCAATATGAAAAATTTCATCGAAATATTAGCTTCTTTCTTTTTTAAACAAACATATTTGCACTTACTTTACTTGTTTTTTAGTCTTCCTTCAAACCATTGATTAGGTCATGCAAATTTTTCATGTTCGCATCACTCCAGTCCCTAATCCGAGGTAAATCATACTTCCAAATGTTATACAGTCCATCTCTAGGGGAAAACTCACAAAATACTGCTTGCATAATAACAATCAAAGTAACATAAGTGTGTACAGAAGACACATTTTATTCAGTGTACAGGTAATCCCCAAAAACATATTATGTAAATACATGCATACAGAGAATACATGACAAAGTAAGATTTACAGATTGGTATTTATCAAAAGGAATATTGGTTAAAACCTAAAGACACATGATCACTCATCAGAGTAAAATCAAATTTTTGAATACTCAACAACTGTATCATTGGTCATTATCTAAAAAATAAAATACAGGACACAATAGGATGTATAAATTCGGTAACCATCAATGACAACAATTGAAAGTACCTAAATACACATAATTTTACAACAAAATAATTTAAGTTATTGGTAATCAATAAATTTATCATTGGTCATTACCTAAAACATAAAATACAAGACATACTAGCTATATTCAAATTAGTAATCATCAACTACAACAATTGATAAAACCTAAATAGACATTAAGTGCAAAACAGAACAATTTAAGTTTTTGGGTTTTTAAGTGTATTATTGGTAATTACCTACAACATACAATACAGGACACAATAGGATGTATAAATTTGGTAACCATCAACGACAACTGTTGAGAGTACCTAAATACACATAATTTTACAACAGAATAATTTAAGTTATTAGTAATCAATAAATTTATCATTGGTCATTACCTAAAACATAAAATACAGGACATACTAGCTATATTTAAATTGGTAATCATCAACTACAACAATTAATAAAACCTAAATAGACATTAGGTGCAAAACAGAACAATTTAAGTTTTTGGGTTTTCAATAAGTGTATTATTGGTAATTACCTACAACATACAATACAGGACAATGAACTCAATAGTGTAAGTAACATAAATATTAAAATTAAAAGTAGCTTACTATCAAGAGCAGAGTACAACCTCCTAAATTTGTAGGTGTCGTTTGGGACTTGAAATCTGTTATGGCGTCCACCAAACTATCTAGCACAAACTTTGCGAAATTCCAATGCCTTATACAATCAGCTTCGACAACAACATGAAGCCATCCCTTTTGTGGCCTATCATCCACGTTTGGGCATATTAGGGTTGTCATGACAAAAACTGTAAGCATACGTTCAAATTGTGGATGGTCATGCGCAATTTTCCTTACTTCCAATGACATGCCTTGAACTTTCAATTCTGTAAATCTCAAAAGTTGTTCATCAATTGCATCCTCATCGTCTAACTCCGCACCATCAAACTCAAAGCCATGGTCTTTAAATCCCAAGAGGTACTCAACATGGGTGTTTGTGATCTGTATTTTATCCCCATAAAGTCCTTGTAGACGGATCAAAGTGGTCTACCACCCACTTACACATAGTTTTTCTTGTTGTTTTAGTGTTGTAGTGTAACAGAATCCCAAAACCCATAGCCTCCAACTTATCCTTTTTCTCTCTTGGAAAGCCTTTCACTAATGACACAAATTCGTTAAGTTGACACAATGGGTTCCACGATCCCTAGATAAAGAAAATTTCAAATACTTTTAACTATTAAGAATTTACTATTATTAAAAAGAACAATATGAAACTAAAGGTATTTGAATTTATACCGTCGTTGTTGTGGAACTTCGTGTACGGAATGGCTTTAATTTTTTGTCTACAGGTGCAAAATGCATTACCAGATCCTGACTTCCTTTTTCTTGTAGACATGTTTGCCTTTAGCAATGTTACACAAACAAAATTACTGTTCAATTATCTAATTATCATACAAAATGCATATTAAACTTTTTCTAAACAACCAAAGTGAATAACTACACAAAGAATTAGCATATCACAATTACCAATCTTAATTCCAAATTTTTGATTGTTAAAATGACAAATTGCATGCAAATTACATTGTTCACCTAAACACACAATATAAATTTAAGCACATAAAACCCCCTTACTTTAGTTAATTTCGAACTAATGTTGGGACATTTTTCCCATATAATTTGTAAAGCAAATAAGAAAAAAAAAGCCCATATACAATCCCAACTGAACCACTAACCCGAAATTGTGTTCATACTTTTAACAAAAAAATAAAAAAGATAAAATTTAAAAATTTTAAAAAAAATAAAAACAATAAAAACAAAACAACCCAAAAAATACCCAAAAAAACCAATAATCACACAACCCACAACCCAATTAAAGAAAACAGAAACTAAATACACTATACACAAAAACGAAACAAGTGAATGGTAAATTATACTAATTTATACAAATTATACAAAAAAAATAGAAATTATACAAAATTATACAAAAGTTAAAGTGAAATTAGTCAATGTGACTTACAATGTAAATGAATGTGGTTCTTTGTTACTGTTGCCGTCGCAATCGCCGCCTTCTTCACCGCTTACTTCACCGTGTTTGAGACTTTTAGAGTGATGTTGTGTATTTCTAGAAGGAAAACTAGAGAAAGAAAGATAATAATGGAGAGAGATTGTAAAGAGTGAATAGTAACCGACTTTTTTAAGAAATAAGAAAAAAAGGTAAATACACAAAAGGTAAAAAGTTTAAATTTGCGGTTGTAATTGAGTTTGGTTTAAATTTTTATTTTTATTTTTTATTTTTTGTTTTGGCAACTGCAAAAGCATAAAACACGGATTAGAATACTGTGCAATTCAATCCCTTCTTTTATTTTTGTAAAGATTAAATATTTTGTTATTTTTCTTTTTTTTTTTAAAACATATAGTAACAATATATAAGATTCTTTACTATCATTCGTTATATGGAAATTTATATATATTTTTATATTTTATACAACATATGAATATAATTGTATGCTATATAATAATCGATTTCCACTTGTTATATGTTTCAAAATAAATTTCATAATTATTTAAAATTCGTATAGTACTGAAACTGGTAGGTTGTAGACAGATTTTATTTCAACTATTTTGTAAGTATTTAATGTCATATAATACTGAAACAATAGTAAGCCTATGCTTTTCCAAAAAAAAAATGAAAAAACCTTCATCGTTATACAATAAAAAAAACATAGGAAATCCCAAAAAAAAAAACGATCATTGCCAAATAGTACTTCGCTACATAAAATATAATAAAAATAAAAAGGAACAGGTAATAACATGTACATGGAAATGTTACTGTTAATGCCAAAGAGTATTGTGCTATATAAAATATTCAAACATTAAAAACATAGGTAATAACATATAAAAGCAATGCTCAATGCCAAATAATACTGCGCTACGTAAATTATTAAAAAATAAAAAGTCATAGGTAATAACATATAAAGGAAATGGTCAATGCCAAATAGTACTGGATAAAAAAAAAAAAAAAAAAAAAAAAAAAAAAAAAAACATCTCAATTTCCGTCGAAAGCTACTTAAAAAAAATTTTAAAAAAAAAAAAAAAAAAACCCAAAGCACTACCAGCCCCAACCACCCTAACCCACCCTGTCGAGCCACCACTTCCCCACCTAACCAACCCCCTAACCCAAACCATAACCCACCCACCTAGAAAAACGAAAAAAAACCACCACGCCTAACCACCTCCAACCCACCCACACCAGACACCCCACCCCACACCACCCAGACTAGACCCCCCCCCCACCCAGACCAAACCAGACCCCCCACCCCACCTACCCACCCTGACCAAACCAAAAAAAAATAACAAAACAAAAAATATTCAGAACACCGAAATCGTAAAAAACAAATCGAAACAAAAACCAAAAAAACGAAAAAAATCGAAAAAAAACAATTTATACATTACATAGTCCAAAAATCCGAAAAAACCAGATCTACAAACATACATTACAAAATTTATAAACTTACATTACAATTTCATCAAAAAAATAATTATAATCATAAATTTTGTGAAAAATAAAACTAGATCTACAAACTAACCTATATTTAACCTATATTTTCGGCCTTCTACGGTGCTTGACGGTGGATGACGGTGCTTGACAGTGAACGACGGTGCTCGATCCAACATTGAAAGAACAAGAAGAGGTGAAAGAAAGAGATCTGACTAAAAGAAGAAGGAGAAATAGATCAGAGAGAAGAGGAATGAGAAAAGGACGAGAGAAGAGAGGAAGGAGAAGAGAGAATCAGAAAAGAGGAGAGAGAAGAGAGAATCAGAGAAGTAGAAGGAGGCGGAAGAGAGAAGGAGTAGAGGAGAGAGAAAGAGAAATGAGAAATGAAAGGGGGAGGGGGTGTTCCGGTTTAATTAGGGTTTTTATTTAAAAAAAAACCGTCGGAATTTGAGATCCGTTGGAAGTTAATTATTTTTCGACGGAAAATCCGTCGGAAACTAAGTATTTTCCGATGGATTTAAATTCCGTCGGAAATTTCCGAGGGATTTCCGACAGAAAATCTAAATTCGTCGAAAATTTCCGACGGAATTTAAATCCATCAAAAAATTCGTTTTTTCCGACGGATTTGTGTGTCCGTCGGAATACATCCGTCGGAAATTGACCTTTTTCTAGTAGTGTTGGATCCCAATCAAAGATGGTGGGAAAATTTTCAAATTTGGTGACTTCATAACAATCGGTCGCGTTTGCTGCATCGCTAGCGGTGTATGTCCTTGGCAGGAATTTTTTCAATAGCTTAACAAAACCACCGCGTTTGATGACAGGTGTCATGGTTGTTTCAGATGTTGTAGGAACATTATGAACCAAGTGAGTGATATCATGAACACCACGACCAATATCATGAACCCCCTGGTCGATATTTTCATTCCCGGTGGTTTTGACTTCACTCTTTTTGGGTCTACCCATGCCTTTTCCTTTATTAACCTTTTGATCTTTTATAATGTCCTTTTTCAGGATTTATTTTCTCATTTTCTATT